CCAAATATTGGGAAAATTAACAAAATCGCTGAAAGCAAAAAGTTTCTCAAATTGGATGCTGCAATCGCTGCAGACGGAGAAGCCCAGATAACCAAAACAACCTCTCTACAATCTTACCCCCCTGCTACACTTGCATATCTACGATACCGGACGGGCTACCTTTCAGTTTTGCCATACAGACGTTAAGGAAAAGAGAAGTGTTAGCAGTTGCGCTGTGTAAGGAAAGAAAAAAGTAAACTCTGTAACATTTGGGATATCAGTCTAACTTCATGATCGAACTCAATTTGTGATGCCCTTCTTTACTCGCAGCTTAAGGACATTAACGACCGATTCCATGTCATCAGTAAGGAGTGTTTTATTGTGTTCCTTTTCTTTTTGGAGGTCATAACTACAGCTCAATGAAAACAATAGACTGCAGTGTGCTGTATTCTTCTTCAGAGTGCAGTATCTGAGCCGCAGTCGCTCGATTCCCTGTTCGATTGTGAAACTGACACATTTGATGATGAAGCCTGCTTCAATTACTGTTCATCAGAAATCAGGAAAATATCATCGACACGCTCCATGGTCTACAACACATCAATTGGGATATCCTAATTAAGAATGAGAACGTCGTTAGTAGCGTCAGTACAGCTTCAGAGAGGAAATTAAGAAAAATTTCGAATAACAAATGGAAGCAATCGTTTCTGACATACATATTTATCTAGAGTCTAGAGTGAAGAAGCAGCTAGAGAAAACAACAGAATTTTTATACCTGTAGATACTGGAAATCCGGGGATTTCAGCGTACTTCAGCGTGACTGCATCTGTGATGTCCTTGGCAATATGACCCAATCCAGAACCGGCCACAAGACCAATGATAGGCGAACATTTGATTCGTTGCTTGATGAAGTCCGCGACATTTTGTAAACCGTCATAGTCAGTCCTAGAATATAGACCGCTGCTGAATCAGACCAGGTCCAAAAAAGGGTACACTTACTTAATCGCAACTTTTCCTGGAGAAGCCATTTAAAATAATACCTGAACGACGACTTTGTACAACGATATACGAATGAAATGTGCTAGCGGAATATAAATTTGGACAACGTCTTCCACCTCATCACTCCTCTCTCGCGACAACAATTTCAAGATATAACAACCATTGTAAAAACTAGTTTTTTAATAAATGGAGCGATTCAATTTTTTCATGTTTCTATTAGTGAGTTTTCACTGGAATGAGAAAACACCGTGATTCAGTAAGAAAGCAACACCGGTGGTTCCATTCAAGCAGTCAAAATAT